TGACCTCTGGGTAAACCCTGCTTTCTTCCCTTCCATATACTCCTCTGATTCCATTGCGCTTATGAGTTCGTGGGATTCCTTCTCGAGACAGATTACTTTAGAATCCAAATGTGTCAGGCGCGACTCCCTTTTTTAAGGATTCCACTCCGGGAAGGTAACAAGCATCCCTCTTTAAAATTCCAGCGGGAGGCCTTTTTAAAGATTCACATTATGGCACAAACAAAACGAAAACAGGAGTCATTTCAGGAAATGAAGCCCCTTGGCAGAACGGTGCCCCTTGCCTTGAAGACTCCCCCACACATCACTCTTAAAGTCTTTATCGTCTGGACCTTGCGTGAAGCTGCGAGTCACAAAGACTAATGAAATGACAGCCCGTGGGGCGGACGAGCATCTGTTTCGAAGGCTCCAAGGAGGACCCAGCTTAGAGCCAGTTCTTTGGTTTAGGGATTATCTCATTCCCCTAAGGCATTGAACCTAAACCGCTTTTTACTCCCACCCCCACGCCACCCCACCCCCACCTGCTCACTAACCCCAGGCCGCAGATCACAGAGCCTGAACTCCCCAGCCACCTGGGTCGGCACCAGGCCCGCTGGGAGCCCATTAGGCAGCGTCTCCTGGGGCCTTGGGGTTTTGCCAGGTGCCTTCCTTTCGTCTTTGTCTGGCCTTCACGTCTCAGGGGCTAAGAGGAGCTGGGGTGGGCCTCTCACAGGCAGCGGAGGGCTGGACAGGGCCGAGCTCACGCCTGACCTGGGCCCCTTCTGCATGTCAGCCAGCCTGCGGGCAGCTCGGGCTTGCTGGCCAGACGCCTTCCCCGGACTTGAGCCCCTTTCCCGCCCCAGATGCTGGTCAGCCTGGCCGCCCTGCCAGCCAGCCCCGTGGAGCAGGCCCACGACAGCAGAGGCCGCACTCGCACTCTCCGTCGGGGCAGTGAATCACGCGCGCACTTGGGGAGGTGGAGGAGAAGGGAAGGGGTGTTCTCCAGCCTGAACGCACCGTGGCGCTGAGAAACGGCCCAGGCGAGCAGGGACGGTGCTTCCCCACCCGCCTGCCCGGCACTCCGCCCGGCAAGCAAGCAGATGGCTCGCCGGGAAACGGATTGTGGGAGGAGAACCGGGCGGCGAGTCAGCCTGGCCACTGTGGCATTGTGAACCCAAGTGCTCGGCCCAAGACTGGGGGACCCCGTGACTTCACAGGAGGGAGACTGAGCCTTCCCCAATCAAAGGGGCAGCACCGTTGGGGCGAGGGGGCCTGTGGCCCACAGCCGCGGAAAATCGGGGCGTCTAGGAGATGTCCCTCCCTGCCCAACGCCCATTTGGTGCCATTCTGTGGCTGCCCGGTACAGGGACCCCGTCACCTCCATGATTTTCAAAGCTCCCAAGTTTGCAATGGGCAACCCGCAGCCTGACCCCGGCCTGCCCGTTCCTGGGGGGGCCTGGCTCAGAGCCCCAGGCTCCCGCTCAGGGCACAGCTCCGTCCCTTCAAAAGGCTTCCCCACGTGGGGAGTCGCGGGTGGAACCAGGAGGGAGAAGGGGTCGCTGATGCCAGGAACATGAGGAAGTCCACAGAGCCCAGGGTCGCAGGGTTGGCTCGCAGCCTCTCCCCCCCGCCCCCCGCAAACCCACCCCAGACCAGTCGAACCCCCGCAGAAATAGGAGAACAGGGTGGAGCAGACAGTCCAGTGCCCCAGACTATTTAAGTCTTATTTATTTATTTATTTATTTATTTGGGTCTGGGAGCCACACCCAGCAGTGCTCAGGGATCAAGGCTAGGTCTCTCTCGGGAATGACTCTTGGCAGGGCTTGGGGGACTGTAGCGGATATCAGGAATCGAACCCGGGTCAGCTGTGTGCAAGGCAAGTGCCCTCCCCGCTGTCCTGTGCTCTCCCCTCATCCCCCCCACCCAACCCCATCAGACTATCTAGTTCTTTCCGCTTGTGGGAAATGCAGCCCAGATTCCTTAGGCCCCTCGCCCCCTCCGTCGGTCTCTTCCGGTCCCCTCTCTGCCTTGGGTCCTTTCCCCTGGGCTGCTTCTGCCTCTGACCAGTTTCCTGTTCTCCTTACCAGCGACTCTGTCCCTCCTGCAGGCCAGGGCCCTTCCTCATGCCCCGTGCTTATATCTCCAGTCTGATTCTGCCTTGTGTCGGACTGCCGACATTCAGAGGGACCTCCTACTTGTCACTGGGAGATTACCAGACAGGAGCTCAGTGCCGGGAAAGCACAAAGAGCTGCTTGACTAGAGAAGTCCAGGAAGCCTTCCGGGAGGAGGTGATGTTTGAGCTGGGCTGCTGGGCCACCTCCAGGGAGAGGAGAGCCCTCCAGGCCCGAGACCCAGCAGAGGTCGAAGCCTGCAGGTGTGACAGGTGGGACAGGTCTGAGAAAGGGAGGGCTGAAAGGGGCTCAAGGCGGAGCCCCCCTCGCTCATGAGAGCCCTTCCTCCTGACGCAAGACTCAGTGGGAAGTGCAAGTGCTCTCGCCTCCTGCAGGGGAGGGGGGGCTACGCCCCTCAGGTGCTCCGCGTGGAGGGGTGGAGGGTCCCAGGGCTGCCACCGCTCCCGCCCACTCCCACCTGGCGAGGCGGGTGGCGGGCCCAGAAGGAAAGAGGCAGGGGAGGAAGCAGATAAGAAAGACAGCTTCTGTTTAGACACAAATATCTCGGTAATCAGCACAGATGGGATGAGAAATACCAAAAAAAGTACTTGACAGTTTAGAGGGAACTTGGCTAAATGTTGCAGATTTTTAACGTACCTGTGTCAAGTCGCTGGTGCCACCTGAGCCGAGGCCGGCCCAGGCCGGCCTGGGGGTTAGGGACCCCCGACGGGCATGGTTGTCGCAGGAACGGCCCCTCTCCCGGCCTCGAGCCTGTGGCCTCGTGGATTTTTTTTTCCCCCTCCCTCCCACCAAAACAAGGCGCGGGCTCTGCCTCTGACGCCGTGGCTCCCTATTTGGACGGCAAGCTGCGGAACATATTTCCACCCAGCGTGAAGCTTCTTGGCAGACTCTGGAGGCCACGTTTTGGTGGCTTCAGAGTTATCTTTGGATCTGTCAAAAGTGCTAATGGGCTTTCTGGCCTTCTTTAAGCTCCTCATTTCTATTTTCTTTTTTACTTCCCTCCTCTCTCCCAAAGGGGGCTGGGGGCGGGGTGGGGGAATCATGTAATTCCTCAGCACTTCAGCATTTCCCCCCGAACGCTCAGCTGAGGGCCCGTGTTTGTGTTGGCGCCGATCAGCTGCGCCGTGTCACCGTCTTCAGAACCCGGCCTTCCCCCACCGTCCCTGCTCAGCGCTCCCCGGGGCCTGGGCACGGAGTCTCCCACCAGGGCTGGCGCGGGCCAGCCGTGCCCTTGGCGGTTTGGCTTGGTGTCTGGAGTCCGTTAAGAGGCACATTGGTGCAGTGTGGTGTAAGCAAGCAGGTTTCGAATTCAGGACAGCAAGCTGGGCAGCTTGGCTCCTTTTCATGGGGTGACCTCAGGGAGACACCATTCCTCTGCCTGAAACTCAGTTCCCGTCCCCCCACCCCCACCCCCGTCTGTAAAATAGACTTGTGGTGCCTTTCTCGGAGTCTTGAGAAGATTCAGGCCCTATGGGGATTCCTAGTGTCTGAATCCCACAGATTGTTCAATAAATGGGCTAGCCACCATTTTTTTTTTTCAATTTCCTTTCTCCCGGCCAACTTTGATTGGCTTTGTTCCTATGCTGTGCTTTATTTTTTTTTCCAGAATGCAGCTTGACCCTACCATTTTTCAGTGCTATTAAAAAAAAAAAAATAGTACAGGTGCAGAGCCAAACCCACCCATGGCTGAATGATGCCCACTCGAGTGACCATGGGCTATCTCAAGTGAGCTTACAGATGTACAGCCTGATGGAGTGATGTTACAGAGTATCTGTGCGGGTCAGCTTCAGAGACAGCAAAGTTGACATGCCATAGGATTGGGTCTGTGTCCAAACACTCAGTGGTGGTTCTGGAATCTCTCTCGCACTTGGGTTACTGTGATTACTGGAAAGATTCCTAACGTCTCACTGGACTTTTGTGAAGATGGCCAGAGGATTCCCGTGCAGAAGTACCTGGAGCCTGGCAGGCAGTCCCAGTGCGAGGCTGTCAGTCCCCTCTGGGTTTATCAAAGCCGATGGTTTACCTGGCGTTCCAGCCAAAGAGTAACCAGTTATGAGCCAAGTGCCTGCCCTTCTCCCGGCCCTGCACACCGAGTGTGCTCCTGGCACATGATGCAGTAGGGCTTCAGCCTCGCGACTGGCAGAGGGTTATGTGTGCAGCACGGGAAATGGGGAACACCAAGGAAGTCGGCGTTATTCATGCATGTCTGCAGCACTGATTCAACAAGCGTGTGGCGAGCCCTAGGCCAAAGCTAGTCAGGTCATTATTGCTTCCTGCAACTTGCTGCTACTTGTCATCAGAGTAGCATTTGATCTCCACCCTCCACCCCAATACACAACACACACACACACACACACACACACACACACACACACACACACACAGCCTTCCTTGAGAGTAAATACCTAGGAATTGTAAATCTTGGAGTTTGCTTTCAGTCCTGCTTGGTAGAGATGGAGATTGGAGGTGAGGGACCCCAGGCAGGCGGCGCTGGCCCAGATGGGTCTGGGGGCCAGTAAGGGGCTCTGTGACCTGAGTGCTGCTCGCCCAGGACCTTCCTTTCCCGAGAGCGATGGCCTTGGGAATATTCTAGGCTCCAGGGTGAGGAGAGCTGAGCGACAGCCCTGTCTCCGGCGTGCCCTGGACTTTCAGATCTTCTTGGCGAGATCGAGGCCGGCACAGACGCCTGACTGCCCGCCCAGCTCCACCTCACGGGGCTCTTCGTGCCTGCCTGAGGTGGGGTCTTCAGGCAGGAAGAGCAGGAGTAGGACAGGGAAGGATGAGAGTGTCTGAGCATGTCCTTCCTGATGACTTTCCGCACCCCGTGGTTGGGCTGCTTGCAGAAGGAACCAGCCCGCTAAACCACACGCCTTCGGTTCTTCTCCCTCCTAGAGAAACTTGACCGAGTACTTTGTGGCCGTGGACGTGAACAACATGCTCCACCTGTATGCCAGCATGCTGTACGAGCGCCGCATCCTCATCGTCTGCAGCAAGCTGAGCACCGTGAGTATTGTCCGCTGGGCTCCTGGGAAGGTGCCCGGGATCCGGGAGGGAGGAACCGGCCCCAGCCCCCCACCGAGGATCGTGGCGTCATCATGTCTGTGACCATGCTCTGGCCCATTTCGATGCCAGGGTGGCTCACAGCTTGCCCTGGGTCCATCAGTCCCTTCTCGGGACCCTGCTCTCGGAGTGCTAGGAACTAAGGGCAGCTGAGGCTTAAGTCAAGCAAATATGAATGCCCAGGGGTAAATGTTATTTTGGAGTCAATTACCTCCCACATTACGTAGCATAGCATCAATTGTCTTTCTATGTCTATACAAAAAGGATATTGTTAAATAAACCATACAAATAACATAAAGGAAAGAGAAAAGCAATATCGGATTAGTAGTTGTGCCTCAGTTGCTCTGGCTCCATAAACCTTAAGTTCCCTTCGGGAGCAGCAAAGTGTTATCCAGCAGTCATGCATGCTCCTACCCGGTGCGAACGTGCCTCTCATCAAGGGATGCGCCAGTCCTTGCAGGTTCCAGTTTGATCACATGTTCTGAATGGTTTACGTATTTCCACAGAAGGGCCCATCATGGCCCTTAAAAAAAAAAAAGCCTCTGCCATATTCTCGTACCCAGCGTGTCTGTTTCTCTTGATGCCCGTTCATGATGGTTCGTCAGGGTTGAATCGTTTCGTTTCTAATACCGCAGTAAATATCTTTCAGCTGCTTCTGATGGTAAAAGAGTTCACGTTATAATGAGGAGGGTCACAGGGCACAGGACTGGGCGAGACTGGCCAATCGCTGATCACTTGGCACACAGATGGCGCCTGTTTCTACTGAATACTGCCAGCTGTGTTCGTGTGCCACTTCCAAGGCTGACTTCCCCTGTGTGCGTGTATGTGTGCACACGTGTGCATGCTCATTCTTAGATGTTTTAACTTTCTTAATAAAATAGGTATAAAACGGTATTGTAGATTTGCGTTAACTTTTTTTTTAATGGAGGTAACTGAATTTTTTTCTATGAGTTTGTTCCCAATTTATATTTTGTTGCAGTCTTCTCCCATTTATCGATGTTTTGATTTCTTTTTTACTTGGAATGAGCTTTTTGCTATTTGTATGCTAGAAATATTTCTCATACTTTTATTTTCGTCTTTTAACTTGCTGCGTATGAGTTTACGTTTTCCCCAATTTCTTTCCTAAAAATTTTCAAACATAGAAAGTTAAAAACATTTTCTAGCAAACACTCAGACAATCCCATCTATATTCTACTGTTAATCCTTACGAGGCTTCCTTTGGCACAATTTTTATCTCTCCTTGTCTTTTGCTATCCATTAATTTATTTTAATTTTGGATATATTTAAACAGAGATCAGTATACTTTTCTCTGACGTAATTGACTATGTATATTATTAACTTACTTCAGCAATGATTTTAGGAGGAGGAGCCATACCCAGCAAGGCTTCTTCCTGGCACTGTGCTCAGGGATCACTCCTGGTGGTGTTCGGGGACCAGATAGGGAGCCTATGAGCAAACAGGGTTGACTGCCTACAAGCAAGCAAGGCTCTCAACCTGCTGTACCATCTTCCCAGCCTATATTTTCTTTCGTTCTTCAGCGGTAACATGTACAGAAATTGACTGGGAGTACGATAGTCAACGGGTACCCCTGTCAAGATAGTAGAACTTGGGTGGGTATTTACATAATGAAGGGCTTGTGGGGAAATATTAGTTGTGTATTTGTTGACCTGTAAATGCACGGAACTTGTTGGAACCTTCGCGAGACTATGGGAGTCGTCCCTTTTGCTTTCATCATTTGTAACATCTTTATTTCCTTGGTATTGTTTATGACTGTCAGGAACTCACCAGTTTTTATTTCCTGCTAAGCACTAGGCCCATTGCACAGAGAGGAGAACAAAGCATGCTCTTGCCCTCCAGAGAACAACAGTCAGAGTAGAGCTCTTGATTCATTTGCATTTTATTTTAAACTGTAAGTGCAGTTTATAACCTCAGGGCCTGAAAACCCAAGCTGAGTGTTAGGAAGTACTGCCAACCAGATTTGTCAGTGTATTTTTATTGGATTGAATAGAATCCCTTGGGGAAAAGTCTAGTTCATAACTAGTTACTGTTGCTTTTGGAGTGTTAATCTCCAATAGAACAAAAACAGGATTATCATCGGGGCCAGAGCAATGGTATAGTGTAGGGCATCTGCCTTGCAGGTGGCTGACCTGGATTCGATCCCTGGTATCCCATATAGTCCCCTGAGCACTGCCAGGAGTAATTCTTGAGTACAGAGCCAGGAGTAACCCCTGAGCAATGGCTGCAAAACAAAAAACAAACAAACACACAAAAAAAAACTGGATATCATCTCAATTAAACCGAATTAAGCCCTTAATATGTGCTCTGGGCTAAGCACTATTTTTCCCATTAGCTGTAATTTTTTTATTATAGCACTGTGATTTACCAAGTTACTTATAAGTGTTCCAACACCAATCCTGCCACCAGTGTGCTCTTCCCTCCCCCAGAGTCCCTGGTTTCCCACCTACCACCCCAGCCTGCCCCTTTGCAGGCACAAATTTACATCATATTTTTTGTTACAGCACAAAAGCAAATGGAATTATCAAGCCTGAGACCAAGAGGAGTCAGTTTGCGGTCATTGTTGTCTCTCCCACTGATGTTACTGCAGTCATTGTGTGGGGCTCTGCAGTGCTGGTTGGTGCCAGCTGAGCCCGCTGTGTCATTGTGTCGGCTCAGTGAGCGTGGTGGGCTTCTACGCAACTTTCCCATCAGATGTGCTGTGATCCCACTGGGCCGACGGTACTAAGAAATTCTGAGGTCTAGGAGCTATTGCTGTGGAACAATGAGGTTCATTGGTGGAGTTGGGCCTTTTCTATGTTGGAGAATGTCAGGCATGGCTGCAGTGCCCGCCCCATTCCGAGAAAGCCCCAGAGTTCTCTGGGGCTAAGCACTTTTTTGTCTGTTCACACATTGAGTCTTCACCCTGACAGTTTGTAGTAAACTTAGTTATTACCCCCAAATTACAGATTAGGAAAAATGGGCCTTCTGTGTAATTGTATGTAGATAAATCTTGTGTTTATTAAGTAGACAAGGTTATTCCTGCTTCTTTCCTCAAATTAAAATTTTTAAAAATGGGGGCTGGAGCAATAGTACAGTGGATAGGGTGTTTGTCTTGCACGCTGCCAACCCGGGTTCAATTCCCAGCATCCCATATGGTCCCCCGAGCATTGACAGGACTAATTCTTGAGTGCAAAGCCAGGAATAACCCTTGAGTATTGCTGTGACCCAAAAAGAAAAAAAAAATTTTAAAAATGGAGATGGAATAAATCAATAAGCACAGAGAGCAGAGAGCTTTTTTCAAATGATAGAAGTACTATTATGCATGTTGTGCCAATATTTGAAAACAAAGGTTTGTTTCAATTGACAGAAAACTGTTTTAGGGGTCAGAGAGATAGCACAGTGGATCGGGTGCTTTCCTTGAATACGGCCAACCCTGGGCCATACCCAAGCATCTCCAGGAGTGATCCCTGAGCACAGAGCCAGGAGTAAGCCCTGAGCACAGCAGGTATTACCTCCCCTGCCCCCCCCCCCAAAAAAGAGCAAAACCAAAAAAAAAAAAGTTGTAACTTGTCATAATTAAATCAGGAACTATGAAAGAATCTAGAGACCAGTTAGGGTACATGCCTTGCCCACCCCAGCTTGAATTGGATTCCTGGTACCACAGAGTTCCCTGAGCATCGCTGGATGCATGTCTGGGGGCCCCCAGCACCACAGGGGTGGCCCGCATATCCCAGAACTGCAGGGTCCAAGCTGCATCACACCATTGCATCATTAGGTCTTTGAGCTAAAATGATAGCTGGGCTAGCCAAGAATCATGACAGAGACCCCTGGAGCACCTAAGTACTCTCAGGAGAGCCCTCCTCCCACCCCCTCCCCACAGAATGGATATATCACTTCTAGAAATGTAATCAATATATCAATTTTTCTAAATTATTAAATCCAAATTTCTAGGTATGTTTTATCAAATGTCTTGAGGAACCAATCACTGACATCATAGACAATCTCTTTACAAGACAAGGAAAGAAATGCATGGCTTTTCTTTGTGACGCAAGGGAAAAAGCTTTCCTTGTGACTCTTCAATTTCCTTGGTCTTCAACCACTCCAGAAGACACTATGAGGAAATTCATTAGCTAGTTTCTCTCATTACCATATCGGTCTATAATACAGTTGCAAGTGGAGATAAAATGCAATTCATAGTTCCGAGGGCGATGTCGATAGTACTACAAAACCTATCAGTATAACTCCCCACATTGGCGTATTAAAAAGGCGGCAGCATATGATCGCCAGTAGTGGGAAAGAGTGCTCATGAATAGGAAGATTCAGTAGGCTGAAGTTGTCATTTGCTCCCAGAAAGAGAGCTGGTTCAGATACAGTAGTATTAAAAATCCAGCGAGACTTCCCATCACACAGATTCTAAAATTAATATGAAAAGCCAAAGGAAGAGCCAAGATACATTTGAAAGAAACGAGTGGATTAGCACAGTTGTAGTTAAGACACAAGTAATGAGCCGGGATGAGGCAACGAGACTGATGGAATGGGCTGGAGATTGCAGAGACAGCCCCGCGTGCAGACTTTTTATAAACAGCAGAAGTAGCATAGTAACATCTGGGGGATGGATGGGCTTCTCCATAATTGATTATCCACATTGGGAGGAGAAGGAAGACGGTTTCTATCTCACACCATATGCAGGACTGTATTCCAAATGCATTGCATACTTATATATAAAAAAGCAAATATTATTGAAGCTCTCCGAATAAAGCAATAGTCTCTGAGATCTTGGAGATGGAAAGGGCTTATTTAAATGACCCAAAATGGAAATTATGTGGAGGAAGAGATTAAAATTGTGAACATGTATTCATTGAAAGAATTCTTAGAACTGCAAGGTTTAAAAGCACAAGGCAAGTCCAACAATAGAAACGTGGAGAAAAAGCACCAGTAGGCACTTC